CACTCGGTCACAACTGCCCATTGATTTAAAGATCATTTGTGGAAAATGAGAGGCGGAGCACCGAGCAAATAAAAAGTCTTCAGAAAAAAGAATATATATATGTATATGTGGAAGCTAAAAGCCAAAAGAGCTGAGGGCCTCAAAACTTAAGAAAATTTTTTGCCTTTCTGGTCTATCAAACTCGGGTTTCAGTTTGGTTGACGTAATTTTTTTTTTTTTTTTTTTACTGTCATCGTTGGCACTACCTCTGTGATTTCAATCTAAATCGTTCAAGACAGCAGTTCTATTAGTTTTTGACGGTTACAGGAGGTAGCAGGTAATCTAATTTCTGTATTAATGACTATCATTATCAATTCTTGTATAATTTGAGGTTTCTAGCAATTGTATTTATAAAGAGCTTAAAATAAACTCTTCGTCTAGCTGTAGTTTAATGCAACTACCTTGAACACTGCACTTTTGAATTTATTGCTGAATACTGTTTCTGGTTGCACCATATTTTTTAAAAAAAAAATCTAACTTTTATTTTTTTGAAGAAAAAAATTGAGAAAGAAAAGAGCTTCAGACAAGTTAGTTGCTTTTTGTCTGCTGCAAATTATTTAAAAGTTTAACAATTTCTAGTCGCTAGTTGAATCAGACCGCAACTTTTTGCTCATAAATTACCTAAATTATAATTCTAGAAAAGTTTATTATCGGTACTGCTACTAAAGCTAATTCAAACTGATTAATAAAATCAATTATTGAAAATATGCTTATTTATTAGAGACACTTTTAACAAATCAAGTTAATTTTTTGCTTTTTTTTTTTTGTTTATTAATTTATAAAAATAAGGTTTAGACTATAATAGAAATAAGAAAGAAAAGAATTTTTTTGAGAAAGAGAGAAAATATATCTTTTGATAATATGTCAAGAAAAAATTCTTTTTTTTTTTCTTGAAAAGTTTTATCTACCTGAGTAAATTACTCACTCATTCTATCAAGAGGAACGCTCAAAAACTATAATGTTGACTTTCAACTTCATTCAACCAGTCGCTTCATTTAATTTCGCT